GATGAACTTGTTTGCATTTTCTTCAGCTTCAACTTTCACATGAGTAATCGCTGTCTGTCCCGCAACCAGCCACTAACCCGATTCGGACGACTCTTTCCACAGATACAATTGATTTCATTTCTGTGTATTCCACCCCTATGTGCATTGCTTCCATTTGTTGTTGAAAATGGGTATTTGCAATGAATCAGCTGTTGGGCTTGCGATATTCTACCAGGCACTCTAGCGACATTTCTGTTACCAAAGCCATAGTTCCCAACTACCCGTCCTTTTCCTTGTTTCCAGCTTCTGCATTCCAATCACCAGTCACTATCAATGCACCTCGACTGCGTGCTTGAGCAATTTCAGACTGCGGAATTTGGTAAAAATCTTCAACCTCTTTGTCGTTGGCATAAGTGATTGGTGTGTAAGTTTGAATAATAGTTATATTAACCAGTCTTCCTGATAGGCCGATAGTTATTATGCTGTCGTTGATGGTGTTGTACTTCAGGACGGATCTTGAAATGTTCTTTCTAATGATGGATTTGAAGTCTTCCTCTTGAATATGCCCTTCCTGACATAGTAGATTACAGGTTCTTCAGATTCAAATTGGCCAGTACCAGGCCATCTCAGCTCACTGATGCATGGGCGATTTATTTTCATGTGCCATTTCATTTTATACAACTTACAATTTTCCTACATTCGGACCTTGTACATTCCACGTTCTGGTTCTGTATGGATGCTTGCAGCCGTTTCTTCCCATTTTCAGTCCTGCCACACCAGCAGATAGAGGTTCCAAAAGCTTTACTGTTCTCCATCATTAAAGTGGACTCTCCTTTGAGGCGGTAGCTCTTTCCCAGTCGTATTTGAATGCCTTCCAACCTAAGGGGCTTGCCTTCTGGCACTGTATCAGCTAATGTACTGCTGCTATTTGCAAGCTTCCCACAGGCTACATTTTATAGCAAATTCCCAGGTCCTTCTTCCTTCTTCTGTCTTAATTTGGAAGGTCCATTAAAGCCTGTCCACTGGTGTAAGATATGAAAATAATGATAATTTATAATTTGTCAAGGGTTCACGAGGCAGGGGAGGGAAAAAGGAGGAGCTGATACCAAGGGCTCAATAGAAATAAATGTCTAGAAAAGAGTGATGGCAACATAGGTACAAATATGCCTGATACCATTGATGTACCCCAATACAATGATATTTTAATCGAAAAACAAAAGCCTGTCCACCATGAGTGACTCAGCTGGTATTTAAAATACTTGTGGCATAGCTTCCAGCATCACAGCACCCTGCAAGCCATCCCAGTGTGACAAACACATAGGATCCTGGTGTGGTGTGGCCTGTAACACATAGAACCCCCTGCAGAGCAATGTTTTCATTGTTGTTGCTGTTGTTTTTAACAGAAGGACCTCAATGTTCTCTGGTGGAGAAAGATTTGCGTGACAGGGATTGTGAGGTGCTGGGGACACCAAACCTTGGTGGAGCTCACTCTGCAAGCATCAGAGAAAAGTCCTATAAAGCAATCATCCGCATACCTAAACCAGTGTTTTAATAACTCATAGAACAAGTCCTCATTCAGTATAACCCTAACCAGGAGACCCCACGCACGCCCTAAGTCAGAAGGCGCCAATTTACTAACATCCCCGAGGACCTGCTGAACCGGACCAGGCCAACGCGTTGTGGATTGTGCCCTTAGAGAAGATGTCCACTCGCTCCTGACACTTGGGTTCTTCCCTTGATGCTTTGCTGCCACCACTGTTGGGCCCCTCAAACTAAACCCAAACTAAACTTACTAGCCTTTCCAATACCTGAGTTTTCATTGGGGTCTATGCCCATTCCCTCCCCCACTTTCTGTTCATTACTCTCTATCACAAAGTTAGTTAGTTTCTGTTCATCAAAACGTGCAGTGTTTGGGGAACGGACCTAGATGCATTAATTATTGGTTTGGTAGTAGGGTGGCAGGTGGACATTGGGCCTCCTCATGCGCACTCCCCTAGTACAAGAGCACCTTGCTCAGCTAAACGGTCATTTTATGACATCTACCTTCCCGACATGATCGCTGAAGACAGATGTGTGCATAAGAAAATGTGGTGAAGAAAGCTGATGGTGCCCGGCTATCAAAAGATATAGCGTCTGGGGTCTTAAAGGCTTGTAGGCAAACAAGCGGCCATCTAGCTCAGAAACAGCAAAGTCCACAGAGAAGAAGCACACGAGCCTGCGCGAACCCGACGTGCTGAAGGGAACAGGCAGCAGACACCAAATAACAAAAACCATCACTGTGTGACCACCTTCCACGCATAAACGCTGAAGATGAATGTGTGCATAAGTAAGTGTGGTGAAGAAGGCTGATGGTGCCCGGCTATCGAGACCTATAGCGTCTGGGGACTTAAAGGCTTGAAAGTAAACAAGCGGCCATCTAGCCCAGAAGCAACAAAGCCCACATGGAAGCAGCACACCAACATGTGTGATCATGAAGGGCCAAAGGGACCAGCCTTTAAACACCAAAGGCAGGGAGAAAAGTCATATCCTTGTCAATGAGGGTGGTGCGCGATGGAGACCCAATGTCCATCTCCAGACAACTGGACATACCTTGCAGAGGGGTAGTGGGGAGATGAGTCACTTAGGGTACAGTATAGCAACAATGAAGCTCACAATCTTCCTCTAGTTCTTAAACGCTTCCTCCCCCCAACTACCAGAACCCCAGTTTCGCCTTGCAGACCTGGTTAGACCAGATGATGCACAGCGGTACAGAGGGGAATTGGAAGCGCAGGGAATGTAGGACGGAAGAAACTCTCAGGACCGGGGATGAAGGGGGCGATATCAGGAGGGAAAGGGGAGGTAGTAAGGGGGAATGGATCACAGGGAGCCACATATGGCCTCCTCTCTGGGGGACGGGCAGCAGCGGGGTGGGTGAAGGGAGGCGCCGGACAGTGTAATATAAGATACAATAATAATTTATAAATTATTAAGGGTGCATGGGGGAAAGGGAAGGGGAGGGGGGGGGAAATAAAAAAAAAAAGGAAAATGAGCGGATTCCGGGAACCCAAGAGGCAAGAAAATTTTGGGAATGATGAGGGCAACAAATGTATAGATGTGCTTTACACAATTGATCTATGTATTGTGACGAATTGTATGAGCCCCAATAAATTGATTAAAAAAAAAAAAAAAACATGCAGTGTTTGTGAACTGTTCTACGGAGCGTCACCCAGTTCACAATAAAAAAACTGTTTAGCGCTCGCTTTGGCAGCACATATACTAAAATTGGAATGATACAGGGAAGATTGGTATGGCCCCTGAATAAGGATAATATGGGGATTTATGAAGCATTCCATATCGAGATAAATAAAAAAAAATGTTTCATGTTTGTCAGGGGAGCGTTAGAAGGGATGGAGAAACTTTTCGAAGAGGTGGCTGTATTTGTGATCTTGATTATGATCACGCTTTCATGAGTTTACACATGTCAAAATGTATAAACCGCATACTTTAGATATGTACACTTTATGGCAGGCGTCCTCAAACTACAGCCCGCGGGCCACATGCGGCCCTCCAAGGACATTTATCTGGCCCGCTGGGTGTTTTTGCCCCGTTGGTTTTGTTTGCAATGTGCATAGGAATTTATTCATAGTTTTTTTTAAACTATCGTCCGGCCCTCCTACGGGTATGAACTGGCCCCCTGTTTAAAAAGGTTGAGGACCCCTGCTTTATGGTATGCTAAGTACCCCTCAATAAAGCTGCATACAATGAGAAGAAAGTCAAGGTCACTTTGAGTCTGAGTGATTTCATGAAGGAGGGAGCTGTAGAAGTGAATCAAGGGCCAGCAGTCCTAGCAGTCCTGCGAGGGAACAGAAAGCTGGGAACCAAGGCCTGAGTCCGTTCCTGCACACACGCTTCATGAGGTCGAGGCTTGCTCTGTGCTGTCCACGCAGCCTGGTGGCTCTGTCAGAGAAGCTCTGGACGACTAACCACGAGGCTGGTGGCCCAAACCCACCAGCCACTGTTCTGGACAAAAATGAGGGTACCTGCTCCGGTGATGACCTACAGCCTCAGGGTCATTGCAAGTTGGAATCAATTCATAGCAGTGGACTTGGGTTCTTGTTGTTGTTCGCATGGCACACAGACTTTTAAAATATCGGATGACTAAATCAACAGAGAAATGAAGGAATCTGAAAGCCAGGGCCCAGGTGGAGGGCAGCACCAGTCTGAACTCCATCGTGCCTTACCCAACCTCGCCTGTGCCTGCTTGCTCACCCCACACACTCGGACACCTGAAGCCTGTGGGGTGAGTGGGGGTTCACAGGGGTATTACATCCCTACCAAATTCCCATTAGACAGGTAGCCCAGAAGGAAAAGGGCTTAGCTTTACTTTGTGAAAGACCTCTAGACAAAGAAAATATTCTAGGACTTGGGGCTGTGGGGATCCTACTGTATGGGGTTGTACAGCTAGGTAAGTTTCCACTCCTGCCCAACCTATGGGCTCCTGCCCTACTTTGTGAGCAACGTGAGATAAAGTGGACACAGCATGTTAGGAAAACAGAAAGGGATTTTATTGTCTGTGCAGCCCAGGAGCGTCTCAATGCCCACTGGTCAAAGTACCTGACGCTCCCCAAATGGGAGACCCCTGGGTCTCTTATGCCCTTAGACTTCCAGGCTTCTTTCTTCTTCCTGCCCCTCCCTGCCCTCCAACCGCCCTGTGCCCTAAACAGAGGGCCAGTTGGTCCATCAGGTTCTCCCCAATAGTCTCTAGAAGGCTCTCTCTCTTGAAAAAGGAGGCGCAGGGAGGGTAGTGGGTCAGAGCGTGTGTTCCCTTCTCGGGGTTCATGGGTTGGGGTGTGTTGGAGGCCGCAGCTGCGCACACGGACGGGGCGTGCTCTCAGACCTGGCTCACCTGGAAGAACCCTGAGGCCATTCTTTGTAGAAGGGTCTTCAGACGGAATGCTGATGACCAGGGTGGACAAGATGGAGGATTTATATAGTAGAAGGTGGCGTCACAGAGTAACCAGTGGGGAATCACACAAAAGAGGGGCTATTGGTCTAAGGGTCTCACTAGCATAACAGCACTCCTGGTCCCCATCACCCAGACATCCTAGGATCAATTCCTGAGAGCCTGGGAGGGAGTCAAAGGCCTGGCCTCTATTACCAAAGGTGTTTCCCCGACTCATCCTTTCCCTCCCTGGGCCCTTTTCTCTGCTCTTTCTTCGGTCTTCCCACGACATCCCAGAACTCTGAATGAAGGGAACACACCTGTGTTCTTTGGCAAGAATCAAAAAGCCAAACCCACAGCCATCCGGTCAATTCCCACTCAGAGAGTCTATATGGGTTCATCCCTGCTCCTATGCGGGGACTGAGAGGTCTGAACCACCGACCTTGCGGCCAGCAGCCCAGGGCTTAATCCACGGTGCCAACAGGGTTCCTCCTGGGAGGGCGCAGGCAGAAAGGAGGTTCTGCCTCCCTTCACAGAAATCGCCCGGGTTTTCTCCCGTTCTCCACTCAATCCCACAATCCGTCTGGCCTTCCAGCTTCTCTGAGCCCACCCCGCAGACCCCCGAGTTCCCCGGCACCTCCTCCAGACCGGATCTACAGATCTCAGCGGCCCTTTCTTTTCAAACGCAGGCACCAGCCCAGCCCCTGCGCGACCCGCTGGCTCCCATAGCAGTCCCTGCCCCTCGTCGTTGTGTCCACCCAGCTGGCGGGGCCACGTGGAAACTTGGGATGCTCAAGCCCGGCCATCAAATGAGCCCTCTCCCACCACCTCACACGGTCCTTGCCACCCGCGTCCCTTCCTTTCCTCCCGGTCTCGGGTCCTACTCCACCTACTGCTTCTGGAAGGCGGCGTTGGTTTGAAAAAGAAGAAGAAAGAAAATCGATTGAGTGCCTTTCCCTCCCTCCCCAAACCGCGGTCCTCGGCCCTGCGTGGCCCTGGAGACGGCAGGCGCCCGGTCCTCGGCCCTGCGTGGCCCTGGAGACGGCAGGCGCCCGGGAGAAGGGATGCGGAGGGACCCGAGCGTGGACCGGCCGCGGTCCAGGTTCTGGAATTTGGAGGATCTCAGCCCGCACCTGGTAAGCAGAGCGGTTGGTGGAGGGGCAGGAAGGGGAGGGGCGAGGGGGAGGAGGGGCCCACCACACACACACTCACTCACTCACACACACTCTTTTTCTCTCCATACACACTCTACACACACACACACACACACACACACACACACACACACACACACACACTCTTTCTCCATACACACTCTCCACGCACGCACACACACACACTCTCCACACACACACACTCTCTCCATACACACTCTCCACGCACGCGCACACACACACTGTCTCCACACACACACACACACACTCTCTCTCTCCACACACACACTGTCTCTCCTCTCTTCACACACACTCTCCACACACACACACACACACACACACACACTCTCAGCACACACACTCTCTTCTCTTCACACACACTCTCTACACACACACACACACACACACACACACACACACACACACACTCTCTCTCTCCCTCTCCCTTGCCTCCCCTCCCCTCCCCTCCTCTCCTCTCATGCAGACACCAGGTTCCACACACGGAAGGATAGTTTAGATTGTACATCATGAAAAAAAAATCCAGGCCTCTTCATTTCCTCTCTCCTTAAAAAGGGGGCAGGGACTTGGGAGTCCCAAGACAGAGCAAAGAGATTAGCGTTGTCTCTCTAAGAGAGATGTGAGAAAAACCAAAGAATGGTGTCCCTTCTCCGTTTCCCCCAGGGCTGTGATTTTCACACCGAGTGGATTGTGATCAACAGGTGTGTGTGTGTGTGTGTGTATAATAGACATATGAAGGGTAAATTTTGTTTTTGACACACATATAATGTAATTATTTTCACCATGCCCCCAAACTCCTGCCCTCATCACCCTCAACTCAAAACGGAGAAATCCTTTATCCCGTACGACCCAGACTGCTTCCTCCTAAATGGGGCTAATTTATGGGGCCATTTATGATTTACCAGAAGAAAAGGACTCCTGCCTACCCCCTTTCTCAAGATAAAATAACAGTGACCCCCGTACCACCCTGCCTCGTGCTTTGCTTTCCAAAGATCTTGCATCCTCATCTTCTCTGGTCCCATCCACGCCCATTTCCGGTCCAAGTTCTGAGGTCTGGGCTCCCTAACACCCGTGGAAGCCAGGCTCACACCCCACCTAGTGGTCACCCACCACCCACCACCGCCCGACGGAGTCTGGCAATCGGTGATGTTCCTGTTTCCTGAAAGAAGAAATTCAAGGGTGAAATGGACATACTCCAGCAGCCTCGGTCTCCTCCCAGTCCTGCCAAGTTGTTAAGGGGGACTTTATCTATCTGGGCTGGAGAGGCAGCCACCTGCATCGGGGTGCCAAGAAGAATGAGAGAATTGTTCTTTGAATGAATGGGGTACAAGTGGTATTCTCACCCTGGGGAATAGTGGTACTATCCCCCCACCCCAGCCCCAGGCCTTAGGAGAGTCACCCAGCTCCTCATTTCGGTCTCCATCCCATACACGAGCCCTACTCAGTCCATCTGGTCACTGACTCTACCCAGTGAGTCTCACCCCACAACCTCACCTCAAAGGCCCTCTGCCCCCGAACTCCCCCAGGGCAGGCACCCGACAGGGTGAAAACCGAGATCATTGGAGACTTCCATTCCCTTCCCAAGCCTTGTTTCCTCAAGTCCTCTCTCCCAAGCTCCTTCCCTTATCCCCCTCAACTCACAACTGAGAAACGCGGTATCCCTCGGGGCCCCAGCTGCCTTACTCCGCCTGCATGCTGAGGATGTGCAGGAGGATGCTGTACACATCCTGCTCCATGTAGCCCTGCGGGTGACAGGAAAGACAGGCCGGGAGATGAAAAACAGAACCTGGGAGAAGCTCTGTGACAGGAGGGGATGCTGTTTACTCATACCACCCCGCCCCCAAGAGTACTCAACCTCTCCATGGAAGGAAGGTAGGGAGGAAGCTAGACTCAGATTCCTGGGAGTCTTAAAACTGTAATAGGGATCAAAGCACCTGCTATATAGCTCTGGCTTGATTCTTTGTCATTAATATTATGAATCCCTAATAAAGGAACAAGGCGGTCATGCCTCCTTACTTGGTGAGGGATACGTTGGCTTAGGAGAAAACGGAGGAAGGGGTAAGGGGAAAGAAGTCTTTACAAGAGGTCGGGAAATTGAAAGGGAGAGGCAAATACTTCTCCCCCAGCACCTCATGCATGACTTCTCTTGCTATCCGGACACCTGGCATAGGGGTAGCTAAAGTCCATCTCTCTAAGAAAGGACAAGTATGTCACACACGTGTGAGGTCCCCAAATACAGTTCCAGGCCAGCGCTCTGTCTCTGCCTGGCCCCCAGACTCCACCATGCTCACCCGAGCAGCGTTCAGCAGATGATTCCTATATGTTGAGATGATCTCGTCATGGTTCTTCTGAGAGTCCTGGCAATGAGCAGCAGCGGGAGGTCATGCGCTCGGCTTTCCCACCCTCTCCCCATCCCCCACATAAGGAACTTTAAGGTGAGACACAGTGAAGTGCGGCCAGGTGGGCTCCCTGGCTCCATCTCTGGTGTAGCCGGGCCCACTGCCTGGCTAGCCCTCCGTAATTCTCAGAATCCCTCCCACACGCACCTCACTGCCACTGCTCGCCTTCGGTCATATCCGTTGAGGGCCAGAACATACCTGCAGCTGCACGGCAAGGCGAGCGTTTTCTCCCCGAACTGCGAGGACCTCCTCGGAAAGCTGCTCCAGCTTCTTCAACAGCTCCTTGATCTGAGGCCCGGAGGAAAAGAAAGGAAGGATTCGAGCCAAGTCATTCCCCATCCCAAGTCCCACCTAGGCTCAGGGCTGCAGTCTGCTTCCTTTCATACTCATATATGCATTATTATTTTATTGCTCAAGACAGTTCTTGGAGGCAAGTACTATTCTGCCCATTGCATAGATAAGGAGCTCGGATGAAGTAATGTGTCCCTAAAGCACACAGCTAATAAAGGATGAAATCATGCTTTGAACCAAGACTTCTTTGATCCAAGGGCCATGTTCTTAACTTTGGGCTGGATCTTAATCTGCGTCTGCCTGCTGACCACTGTGGAAAAGGAGGAGCCAGTGTGGTCAGTGAGCTTGTGGCATAAGTGCGATTTGTGATAACCAACAGCAATAGCGACACGTGGTTGTGGGAATGCGAACACCAGCTGACTTTAGGATATGAAGTTGACGCTGGGTCATAATGACTCTACAGGACAGGGTGGAACTGCCCCAGAGGGGTTCCAAGGCTGTAAATCAGTGGTTCTCAACCTGTGGGTCATGACCCCTTTGGGGGTCGAAGGACCCTTTCACAGGGGTTGCCTAGGACCATCGGAAAACACATATTTCCAATGGTCTTAGGAACTGAGGCACCGCTCCTCTATCGTCTCCAGGCGGGTCTGCCCACATGCAGACAGGAGTACCCAGCGTGAAGACTGTTACCCATGCTTAGAGGAGGGGGCGTGGGATGAGTAAACAGCATCCCCTCCTCTCACAGAGCTTCTCCCGGGTTCTGTTTTTCATCTCCCGGCCTGTCTTTCCTGTCACCTGCAGGGCTACATGCTTCCAGACAAAATGTCATTTATTTGTCATTAGAAATAAATATTTCACAATATAGAATTTACGTATTGTTTTTGTGACTCATCACTATGCTTTCATTGTGTTCAATTGGTAACGATGAAAATGCATCCTGCATATCAGATATTCACATCACGACTCATAATTACAGTTATGAAGTAGCAAGGAAAATCATTTTATGGCTGGGTCACCACCGCAAGAGGAACTGTATTACAGTAAAGGGTTGCGGCGTGAGGAAGGTCGAAAACCACTGCTGTAAATCCACACAGCAGCAGACTGCTCTCTCTTCCTTGCAGAGCTGCTGCCGGGTTTGAACGACCCTTCTTGAACTAGCAATCACTCAGTCCAGAGATCACACCCCTAACCACTACACTACAGCTTCTCTCCGCCTACTTTCCTCTCTTTGTAAGCATGTACGTCTTCCTTTCTGTCACTAACCCACCCCACTCTGATCCTGATTCCACCTAACAGCCCTTCCAGTTTTATTAGCTCAAATCTGTGTAAGATTTGTGAGGCATTCCACTCCTGTGAAGATTTGCACTCATCCTCTGAATCCACCGGTTGCTCGATGCACAGAGTTGGAATTATCTTCGGATGTAAGACTCTCCTGTTTTCTAGTCAGTGCAGAGTTCTGTCGGGTAGACACATTTCAGCATACACTCTATCATGGCACAGGTGCATGCGTACAGTGCATCCTCAATGCCACGGAGTCGGTGGCCACTCATCGTGACCCTTTGAGTTTCTGAGGCTGTGACTCTTTATGGGAGTAGAAAGCCCCATCTTTCTTCCCCCGAAGGGGCTGCTGGTTTCGAACTGATGACCTTGAGGATCACAGCCCCACGTGTAACCACTATGCCATCCGGGGGCTGGCATTTCACAGGGAGGTCTCCAATTACTAACTTCATTCTTAAAGTTGATTATTTGGGGTTCATAAACCATGCCTCTCTGGCAACAGTGCTATAAATAGATCCACATTGGATTGGAGAGGCATTGTGGGGGAACTTGAGCATCTATCACAGCAGAGGGAAATCTATCACTAAGGGAAATATCACTAAGGGAAATACGGGCTCATGGGACTCTTTGGTCCACAGGTGACTCATTGAAGCGAGAGGGGGGCCCACAGCGGCTCAATCTATTCTTTTGCTCCATCAAGATGAGCTGGCTTTCCGGGAGCATATACTGTACTATCGAAGTAAAAAGCCTTATAACCCACGAAGCTCCTTCTGAGCCCTGAGTCCCGATATTTAGTACCCAAGGCCCTTCTCGCCTCTGTGTCTAACCTTATCTTACCCCAAGCTCCTCAGCTTGGGCCTACTCATCGGACTAACCCACAGGTGGGTCCCCCCCACCCCTCCCCGGCTGCCTGGCCGCGCACCTTGGCCTCCTTGTCCCGGCAAGCCTCGAAGAGATGCTCCATCTTCTCCTTGAGCAGCTCGGTGGTCTTCTCGAACTGCTGCGAGCGCCCGCGCACCTGGCTGCTCTGGCGCTCCTGCTCGGCGGCGCGCGCCGCCAGCTCCCGGCCGCGCCGCCGCTCCTCGGCCACGGCCTCGCGGAGGCGCGCCGTCTCGCGGCAGGCCGCGTTGTACTTCTCCAGCAGCGCCTTCAGCTCCTGGCCCCAGGCCTGGGCCTGCGCCACCAGCGACGCGCGCGTCTTCTCGTGCTGCCGCAGGCTGGCCGCCTCCCGCGCCCGCAGCTCGGCCACCTCCTCGGTGGCCTGGTAGAGCAGCTGCTTCAGCTTGCCGATCTCCTGGCTCTTGCCGCCCATCGTGGCCTGCACGGCGCGCAGCTCCACCTCCAGCTTCCCCAGGTCTTGCTCCAGAGCGGCCACTTGGGGGCCTGCTGGCACCGTGGGGGTCTCCGCTCCCCCACTTCGGGCCTGGGTCCCCCGCAGCTGCTGGTTTTCCGCCTCCAGGCGAGCCAGCACCTTCTGGGCCTCGCGGTGCCTGTCCACGAGGGTGCTGATGCAGGGCTGCAGCGCCTCCAGGGGCTCCCCGGGCGCCCCCGGGCCCGCCAGGTCTGGGGGCAAGCACTCCCACAGCCCCCGGAGGCCACTGCTCTGGGAGGCCAACCGCTTCCGCAGCTTCTCCGTGGCCTCCTTCTCCGTGGCCAGTTCCTCGGTCAGGCGGCCCACGCTCCCCCGCAACTGCTGCAGCTGCACCTGCGCCTCAGGCTTGGGCACGAACTCGCGATGCAGCCGCTGGCTCAGGGTCTGCAGCTCCCCCTGCAACCGCTGCCGCTCCCGGCCGAGCTGGCCCAGCTCCTCCAGCAGGTTACTGTTGCTGAGCCTCAGGGCGGACACCTCCTTCTCCAGCTGGCCCTGAGGGGCCTGCCCCCCGCCAGGGGCTCCGAGAGGCTCTCCCCGGGCCCCAGGGGCTGTCTTCTCCCTCTCTTCCTCCCCTTTGGTGACGCTCCCCGGGGTTGCTTGTGGGATTTCCTCCCTGGGCTCCTGGACAGGGGTCTCAGGCTTCACCTGTAGCCCTGCCTTTGCTCTATCCAACCTCACCAGCACCTGCTCCAACCTCGCCTCCATCTTCTCCCACGCAGCTGCAGCAGCCTCAGCCCGGGGCGTCCCCAGGGCTCCCGCCAGGACCGGTCCGGACAAAGCTCCCCGGGCAGCGTCCTTTTCTCGCCACACGGCAGCCAGCTCCTCTCGGAGTTGTAGCAGGAGCTGGTTCATGGCTAAGGAGCCCACTGGTTCCATCACAGTGCCTGCTGGTTCAGCCCCGGGGGCTGGAGGCCTCTCCTGGTCAGCACACAGTTGGTCAGAATGCTTGGGATCAAGGCGCTGTCCCGCACTGGTGGTGACTTGCTGTCCAGTGGCCTTTCCAACCGTCTCAGACCTTGGGCTCTGTGGTGGCCCCACCTCTTCGGGTTGAGACTTTCCATGGTCTTTGTGTGGGGTTTCTCCTGGGGTTGAATCTTGGACCTTCTTAGGAGTCAATGTTGGGTTTGCTGCGGCGACCTGCTGTTGCTTCTTTAGCTCTTGGATGCGCTCGGCCAGCAGGTCTAGGGGACAACCCTGCTCCATTCCGTCCCCTCCAGGCCGGAGTTCAGAGCCGTGCCTTCCCAGGGCTCCAGGTTCTTGGGCTAGGAGGAGCCCCAGCTCCTGCACCTGCTCTCGAATCTGGTTCTCCAAGCCCAGGTAGGCTGCAGCCCGAGCCTTACATTCTTCTGTCTTTCGCACCAGCTCCTGCTCCAACTGAGAAACTCTCCTCCGCTCCTCTTCACACTTCCATCTCCACTCATCTGAACACGGGTCCTCGTCCTCCTCTTGCCCCTGCTCCTCCTCAGGCTCTGCTCTCCATGGGCTCTTAGGTGGAGAGCCCACCTGGGGCTCGGACGGAGAGGTCTATGTAGAGAACAGAACAGCGAGGTGAAGCGTGACAGCTTACCTTCTACTCTTCAACGTTCTCACTGTTGACAAGGCCTGCTGCCTGGGAGATGTCCCAGGAGAGGGTAGTGAAAGGGGAAAGCGCTTACCTGGGATGCAAGATCTGGATGTTGAACAAGGCCCTTACCTGTAAGAAAAGACATGGGGGGAGTGAGAGAGCAGAGAGGTCCTATGCTATTGTGTCTAGCTTATACCTGTCTTCAGACTTGCTCAGTATAATACTCCTCACCGCATCTGACTTCTTGGTGGCAGGAGCTACTCATGTTCAAAGGGCCTCGAACTGTCCAGGAACCTTGGTTTCCTATCCCAGAGATGGGCCAGCTCACTCTGTTTTGTTTCAGCCATTCATTTATTGGGCACCTATTATATACCAAGGGAGGAAGATGGGGCTTTCAACTCCCATCAACAGTGAGAGTCTTAGAAACCCATAGGAGCAGTCGACATCAACTCAATGACAGTGAGTGTGTTGTTTTGCGTGTTTAGCTGTATGTACCAAGCAGGAGCCCTGGTAGTATTGTGTTTACACATTGAATTGCTAACCGTGAGGTCAGCAGCTCAAAACCACTAGCCTCTCTGGGGCTTTCTACTCCCCTAAGGCGTTACAAAACTCTCAAAAACAAGCTGACTGCCACAGAGTCGGTGCTAATTCATCATGGCCCTGGAAGACAGGATAGGACTGCCCCTGTGAGTTTCCAAGACTTCAAGGGTGGACCTCGGAAACTCACGGAGGCAGTTCTACCCATCGGCGTCAACTCCAACCCAAGAGGAAAAGGTGAAACTTTCTGTGCACGTGAAGAGTTAGAGTCTCAGGAACCCACAGGGCAGTTCTACTCTGTCCTGGAGGGTCACGGTGAGTCAGAATGGACTCGGTGGCAGTGAGGCTGGTTTTTATTCCATACCAGGTAGTGATAGCGGCAGTGGACTCCCAGCTCAAAGGACCTGTAATCTGCAGGGTTTTTAGTCTGGTAGAGGAGCCACTGACCCGCCAATCACACAAAGAGACATAAAATTATAATGAGGACATGCTTGCCGTCGCACTGGCTAAAGTTGTCCTCAGAGACAAGAGTGCCCTAGGAATTCTGTGACCATGCCTTTGGGAATTTGTGGTCATCTCATAACAGCAGCAATAAATAAGGGAGCTCTCCACTAAGGTGACAATTATTTGTCATCTAGAACATTTCCATGGGAACACACGAGATTCTAAGACACTTCCTTGCGTCTAAGGCTAGGGAGGAGACACCTGGAGCCATGAAGGGGAATCAGCTGTACCTCTCCGACGACGCCGGTTCATGGCCTGCCGCAGCAGCCTGCACAGGGTCTTGTCCTGCATGTGCAGCGCATAATGCAAGGCGTCGTGCCCGGAGCTGTCCACCGCTCCCGCGTCTGCTCCGTGGCTCAGGAGCAGCTCAGCAACTTCGGCGCTGCCTTTCTCACAAGCCAGGATCAGAGCTGATCTGTGGGTTTGGACAAATCTGAGCTTTCCCCACTGGAGTCCAGGCACTCCTGTTCCAGAAATTCCACTCCCAAGGCCAGTTTTTACTTCGTGGGGTCTGGAGAGCAACTGCCCAGCACCACCCAATGACAAAGCATTAGATGAGACCAGAAGTTTCCAAAAGTGTTCCTAGTATGTCTACTGCAGTAGGCCAGAAGCATGGGGCCACCTGGAAAGGCTCCGTTTTTTATCTGCTTTCTAATGTTCAAAGGCCCTTCGGTAGCAAAGCGGGTTATGAGTTGGGCTGCTAACCGCAAGATCAGCAGTTCGAACCCACCAGACGTTCTGTGGGAGAAAGATGAGGCTTTCTGCTCCCTTACAGAGTTACAGGGCCAGAAACCCACAGGGGCACTTCTGCCTTACCCTATAGGGCTGCTATGAGTCAGAGTCAACTAGATGGCAGGGAGTTTGAGTTTTGGAATTATAGATTGAAGGTCTGCTGCAATTTTTAATTAGGAAAACCAAGGATTCCACTGCTCAGAAGGAAGTTGAAAAACTAGTGCATCAAGCCAATGGCTCCAGGGATGTCGATTTTAGTTCTGGGATTACCTGTGGGAGGAGGATGGTATAAAGTATAAGGAAAACGTCCTCAACTCCCCACGAGAGATCAGGACAGCAGCCAGCTGAGTGCTTCAGAGTCACCACTAAGGGGGAATGAGGTCCCCTCAGCACAGGGCTCCCCCGCCCAAACACAGGCACCTCTTGTTTTACGGCGCTTGGCTTCAGGGAGCCGTGCCGATGTTGTGTTTTTCACAAATTCAAGGTTTGTGGCCACCCTGTGGTCAGCGAACCTGCTGGCCTCATTTTCCCAACCGTGTATGCTCACTCCGTGTCTCTGTGTCACATGTTGGTCATGCTCAGCTATTCTAAACTTCTTCATGGAGCACAGTATGGTGTGAGCATAATTTTAATATGCACCGGGGAACAACAACAACAACAAAGCTGAGACTCGCTTTATTGAGATGTGTCCACTCTACCGCAATGTCCAATCTCCGCACTACGCTGTGGACCTATGCACACTGTGCCCTGCGCGCCTGTGTAAATTGACCAATGTCTTGACATGGAGGTGAGACGAGGGGGAGGGCTCACTTGTCATCCTTGTCTAGGACATTAACGCGGGCTCCTCTCTGCAGCAGTTGGGAGCAGATAGCTGCATGACCACCCAGCGAGGCGATCATCAAGGGGGTCCGTCCATCCTGCACAGAATGTGGGAAGGGGCTGGATGAGAAGTCACAGAAAGCCAGGGCTTGATCCTGTCCCTATCAACTCTCCAGGAAAAGTCCAAAGGCCAGTTCCTGGGGCTAAACATTCTCTTTCTGAAGACAGTAGCGCTTGGAGGACCAGACCCAGCAGCCCTTTGGGAGAAAGAGGAGGGCAGTTGGGACAGGAGGAGAATGGTACTATCTAGCCCCTGGTCATGACCTTTGGCCAGAGTCAAGGCCAGAGAGAGCAGTAACACGACCCAACTGCCCGTCTCCACTCACATTATCCAGGACATCCAGGAAGGCTTCGTGGTCACACAGCAGGAGCACGCTGGAGGCACAGCCAGAAGAGGCTGGGAAGGGTGAAGGGGTGTTTGGGTTAAGGTAGACTCAGGAAAGACACCTGCTCAGACCAAGACAGCATCTCCTGTGACCAATTCAGCTGTCACCTCCTGCCTGTCCCTCCCCTCCACATGAGTATCCGCCATCCTTCCCACCCGACAGCCTCTGCAGTCCTGTTCCAGCCAGGCCCCGGACACACCTGCCCAGTGCAGCGGACTCCGGTTGTCTGCATCCACAGCATCTTCATTGGCACCGTGCTGCAGTCACAAAGGAAAGCGGCATGGAGCGCGATGTGCACATCCCCATCCTAGGCCTCCTGTTGGGTCATCGTCAACTCTCACGTAATGTGGGAAAGGGAAGCAGGGTCATGACACTTGGGATGGCCAACTCTGAGACAGGTCTGTCTAATCCATTCCTGGCAGATTATAGAACTCCAAGCCCAGCATGATTTTATCTCTTGACTGCTGCTTCCATGAGCATTGATCAAGCAAGACGAAATCCTTGGCAACATCAAACTTTCCACCGCTTATTATACTATTAACTACTGGTCCAGTTGTGAGGATACACATATATGAAGCTTGGAGAAGTTTAAAACTTTGGCAGAGTAATGTAATGAATAAAATCATTAACAGAAAAAACCAACCCAAAAACTCCAAGCCAAACTCACTGTCGTCAGTCCACGCCACACTCACAGTGATTCTGTGGGACAGGGTAGACCGGCCCCTGTGGGTTTCCGAGACAGTAACTTCGTATGGGAGTAGAAAGCCCTATCTTTGTCCCGTGGAGCAGCTGGTAGTTTCAAACTGCTGACCTTATGGTTAGCAGCCCAATGTGTAACCACTACGCCATGATGGCTCCTTAAGTCTTAGTCCCCATTCCTAAACCTGGGGTCTAAAGCAAAAAATCAGGTTACAAGTAATGACATGTATCAGGGGAAATGACAGCTGATCCCTGGCTAATACTAAAGGATCATCGTTGGGAAAGAAACGTGGAAAGGGCTGGGAAGAACAAAATAGGATCATCTGACCAATGGCCCATTAGGAGTAGTCTGCACCTTCTTACTTTCAAGGACTTAGCTATAAATTGTCCACAGGTCATGTTGTATGTATATTTCTCCTCTAGGCTGCTAGATAAACACTCCTCCAAGTCAACTGTAAGGCTTTAGTTTCATTTGAACATCTCTGAACTCCTTCCAAGGATGAGGACATAAGGTGCTAGGTGTTGGTCTGTTAACCAAAAGGTTGCTGGTTTGACCTCAGCAGCGTCTTGAAGGGAGAAAGACAAGGCAGGCTGCCTCTGTAAAGATGCGCAGCCTTGGGAACCCAATGGAGTCGTTCTACTCTGTCCTACAGGGTCTCTGTGGGTTTGGTCTGGTTAGATTTGGCCCTCTTTCCAGAGTGCCTGGGTGGTAAATGGTTAACAGGTTAACTACTAGCTGCAAGGTTGGTAAGTGCCAATCCACTCAGAAGTACCTTCAAAGGTCTGGTGATCTTCTTCCAAAAGGTTAGAGCCTTGAAAACCCTATGGGGTCACCACGAGTCAGAATCAACTAGATGGCAGCCCTCCTTCCACCTGCCCATCAACTCCGCAGTTGGTCTCTGCAGTAGCTCTGCAAAGTGTGGAGCTTAGTCTATGCATGTTGCCTGACTGCCAGACAGTCTCTGGCAACTCCGCTTTGCTGCTCAAGGGCAGTGCTGGGAATGCTGTCTGGTACATGCCCCCCCCCCTAAAATAAACCCATTGCTGTTCAGTGTATTCTGACTCATAGCAACCCTACAGGACAGGACAGAACCGACCCATAGGGTTTCCAAAGCTGCAAATCTTTATAGGAACAGATGCTCCCATAGACCAGTTGGTAGGTTTGAGCCACTGACCTTCCAGTTAACAGTCAACCCCCCCTTAAACACAGCATCACCAAGGCTCCTTATCTGCACACATCAAACCAAAGCCAAACTCATGACTATGAACTGATTTTAACACCTTATCGAGGGGTTATGAGACATAGTCTATACGAGAGCAGACAACCTCATCTTTCTCTTGCAAAGTGGCTGGTGAGTTTGAACCGCCAACCCAGCAAGGAAGAGCCCCGGCCCTAACCCACACTGCCAACACAACTCTGTTGTCCGGCATATGCCAAACCAAACCACTGCCATCAAGTCAGTTCGAACTCATGGCCACCCTATAGGGCAGGGTAAGATTGCCCCTGTGGGTTTCTGAGGCTGTAACCCTTCATGTGCGTAGAAAATCTCATCTTTCTCCCAAGGGGTGGCTGGTGACTTCAAACTGCTGACCTTGAGGTTAGCAGCCTAAAGCATAACCACTGTGCCACCCGGGCTCCTTTGCCTGGCATATAGCAGGTGCTGAGTAAATGTTCATGATAAACTATCATCAGTCCACTCAATGGGGATAAAGGGAGCAGATTTGGCCAAATGCTTGTGACTAAGACAAGGCTAGGGGAATGGGAGCCCACTTCTTCCCTTTACAGGAGGGGTCTCAAGGGGCGGCTCTGACCTGCAGCAGGACCTTGACACACTGTGGCTGGCAGGAGATGGTGGCCAAGTGCAGGGCGGAGCTTCCTGAAAAGAGACAGAGAGAGGGTGGCTGGGTGGGTGGGGGATGACTCACAGGGAAGGAAGGCATGAGACGCACAGATAATCAGAGGGAGATTAGGGAGAGGAGCTCTCAGGCACATGGGGCCAGAAATTCCTGTTCCCCAATGCCTGGCACCTTAGGGTGGAGGTGGGAGTGGGGGTGGGGTGTGCCCGGCTTACAGGGAGGGGAACCCCAGAAGGAATGCTAACCGAGACTTACTGGGGGGAGGGAGACACAGGGAGTAAAGTTGGCATAGCTGTGCTGAGTCCACTGCTGCCGTAAAGGGGAGGCAAGAGGGATGGCCTCGTGCTCCGTCTCACTCACCATCCTCGTTCTTGCTGTTGATGTCGGCCCCGTTGGCCAGCAGTATCGTCAGACACTCTGTCAGGCCCTTAGAGGCTGCCAGATGAAACCTGCCAGAATCAGGGTCCAGGCGATGAGGTGTGGGAGAATCTTAATCCGCTCTTCCCGCACTGCCTGCATCCCACCCCAAAGCCAGTCCCTTCAGCAGAGAGTCTGACTTCTGATAAAGTTAAGAGGAAGCTGGAGGTGAAGATATGAGAGGTGCAGGTTTTACGAAATCTCAGACCGTGCCAGGGAACACATTTAAGTACAGGGCCAGAAAGGGCTGCAAGTGACCGCAAAGGGCCAGCCAGAGCAGAGCAGAAGGCTGGCTGCTGGAAGGGCAACCTGGGCAGAGACCAGGGATAGCATCACTCCCTCTAACCAGGTGACTCCCATGACTACCACCTCACTCCTCGTTTCCCAAGCACACACGCCCTCCCAGTTGTGCAATGAAGAAACACTAGGCTTGCTTTGATGGAGGTGCTGGTTCACTGCCCCTTTCAGCAATGTCCCTTTGGGCCGTGAGGTCGATGGAGGTCGGGGACGTATCTGCTTCCCTCACTGTGCACACAGCACTCGGGACATGTGAAGATTTGTCCGTGTGCTTGCTAAGACAATCCAGGGGACTCTGACGCTGTGGGCATCCTGTGCTCCTGCATCATATGGGCGTTTGGAGGTTCAAAGGGCGCCGTCTACCAGGGCTGGGTTCTGGAGGACTGACTTACGGGGACTGGCCGTTGGAGTCCAGCTTGGTGGGTTGGGCTGACTTCCTGGAGGCCAGGGCAGCCACGCGTCCCACGTCCCCCCGCTGCACTGCCTCCAGCAGCTTCTGGTCCCGGCGGTTCCATCTCTCCACCTGGTCCAGAACCACAAATTGTGTGAAGGTGGGGACGAGGGTAGCAGAGAGAAAGGAAAAGAGGGGGAGATGCCAAGCAAAGGCGGCGAGACATCCTTCGTGTTTCTCAAGTCCCTTCCCGGCCTTCTTACATGGCTGCCAGCCGCTCCCGGGAGAGAGGCAGGGCCTTCCACGCCAGTGAAGAGGTGCAGTCTCTGAAACCCAGGGGCAGGTCTGCCCTGTCCTAGAGGGTCGCTGTGAGTCCGCATGAACACGATGGCAGGGAGTTTGGTTTGGGGTTAGGTGGGCCAACTCACCGGTCACCAGCTACTGCCAGTGATTGCCTACCTGGGACCCAAAAAAGGGACCCCCTCGGTTGACTGAACTAAAAACCAGCTGAGCCATGAATGCACAGGATTTCAAGGTTCTTCCTATTTTAATTATGCCTGAGTGCTGTTAGGTGCCGACCTTCAGAGCAGTCCTAATTGCGACTGCTTTCCCTCTGTTCTCCAGGTCTCCTGGAGCAAACGGAGCCAACTCCTCTCTCCGATGGGCTCCCATCGTCTCACACCTCCCCGGGCTGCTCGGCTGCTGCCCTGTAGCACAGCCTAGGAAGCCCTAGGCAGCAGTTCTGCTCCAGCACACAGGGTCGGTAAGGGTCTCCCCAGATTCGACAGCCGCAGCCACAATTTGGGACGCACGCCGGACTCCTCATGTCCAGTCTCAGCCAGGAGACTGTCTCCACCTCTTGGCTTGTGACCCCAGAAGTGGGAGGGGGAGCGGCTTCTGTTTCCCTGTCCCCTCTCAATGCCCTTTAGCTAGTCTCCCCTCCTCTTGCCCTGCAACAGTCACTAGCTCGCAAAGAGAGGGTTCTAGCTGTTTATTCGTGGGGAGACAGCTCCTTTCTCTCCTTTGTTCTCCCCTCCCGCCCTCCGAGTTTCTCTGGCAGGGAACAGCTGGGCTGCATTGTTCGGTTATTCCACCTTGAGTTTTGCTGTGCTGAAGTACTTAGGATAATTGAAGTGGCACAGGGCGTGGAAAAAAGGGAGCTTTGTACAAAGAAAGTAAAAACCACTCAGGCTGACAACAGGAGAAAGCCTGGGTTGGCCCAGAGAGGAAGAAGGGATGTGAAGATCTGGGGTCGGCTGGCAGGGTCGGAGAGGAACATGTGGCCGGAGGCCTGGCTTCCGGGCCTGCCTGAGCTACTTTCTGAGCTGTAGGACTTCGAGTCAGCCACTAAACACCTCTGGCTTGTTTCCTTGTCTATAAAATGTGGGTAATAATCACTACCTCGTCACGCTGTCATAAAGGAGCTAATGTATACAAAATCCCTTGCAAACAGACAGGGCAGTCCTACACCAAGGCAGGAAGTGGTGGGGACCGCGCAGCCCACACTGCACCTTATAGGCTGTGACCCTCAGCAAGAAGGCGGCCGGGGGAGGAGACAGAGGAAAGTAGGGGCTCTGGAAGCCCATTAACTCGTTTCCAAATACTGTTTATCTAGACACGTGATGCATCCACAACAGGAGAGATTTTAAATGCCTGAGCCATAAAGTCATCCAGGGTAGATGGATTCTGAGGTCAGACTCCTCGACGGTACGTGTAATTCTTCATAACTCTGTCAAGTGCCGCTTCAGTTAGCCTGTCCACATCCATAGAAAGTCGTTAGGGATGATATATCTATGTGGCAGAAGTTGAAGCACACTGAGGTTAGGTCCAGGGTCAGACTACAAAATAATGGTAAAATTGGGATGAGAACCCAGGCCACCTGAGACCCAACCCAAGTTCTCACCGCTGGACTACACTGTCCCCGAGCTGTGGAGGAAAGTTTGCTAGTCTCTAAATAAACAGGCAAAGACTGCCTTCCAGGCAAAGCCACCGACTCTCAGATGATACTCCTTCCCTAGAGAATAGTCTCCAAGCAGATGAATTCTCAAGGGACAAAATAAGCAAAATGCCTCTTCCACATTCCAACAGATGCTGCGTTGTAAGCACCCATTATTCGGCACCCTCGGGACCAGCTCGCCGCTAGAAAAAGCAGACAGCTAGAACTACCCCTCCATCTCAGGGCACCTCTGTCAGCTGACCTCTGCCTGAAGTTCTTTGTTTAAAATCTTGACTCTCACACATTTTCTATCCCTACATTTAGGCAAGTAACAGCTTCTCTAAGGAGCCCTCATGGCCTGGTGGTGAAGCCCCTGGTTGCTAACCCCAAGCCGGTGGTTGGGGACCCCATCAGCGCTCTATTGGGGGAAGGTGTGGCAGTCTGCTCTTGTAAAGGGCACAGCCTTCCACGATGGCTCAACTATTGGTCTCTCCCCATCCAGAGCAAAGAAGGGAGAAGAGGGAACAGTTAGTCCAAAGGACTGATGGACCACATGAGTGGTCTTCCAAGACCCTGAAACTAGAAGAACTTGATAGTGCTCAGCTACCACTGCTGAGTGGTCTGCAAGGTTTAGAGTGGGCGGAACAAGTGGAATGAACCGCAAAATACTAAAAGAGACCAGGACTACCGGTCTGATAGGGATTGGTGGAACTCCCAAGAGGGTCCTTAAATACCCTTCAAGATGGAAACGGAACTCATCCCCATGACTCAGCCAAATGATGGATCGGCCTATAAAGTGAACCATGGCACCAGGAGGTCCGTATTGATTAGAACAATCAGCCATAGGAGCTCCAAGGGGACGCCTTCACCCAGGAGTCAGGCCTGGAAGGCAGGAAGAGACGGGAAAGGACAAATGCAGTTGGCAGACACAGGGAGGAAGTAGGCATGCTCCCACATTGTGGAAGTTGGCATCAGTATGATGAGTCAACATGTGTATGAATTGTTGAGGGGAAATCAATTTGCCCTGTATACTTTCACCCAAATCAGAATTGAGAGCTGTTAAAAAACAATTGCAGCCTTGGAAACTCTATGCTGCCCTATAGGGAGGGACTTGATAGCAGTGGGTAACAACGTTGTTGACTCTGTTTCCTAATGACCTGTTTTTAGTTGCCGCCAAGTCGGTTCTGACTCGCCGTGACCCTCTCTGTACAAAAGAGCAAAGTGCAACAGAATGAAATGATGTAGCGCAGTGTCCTCACATAGTAGGTAACAATAGGTGTTACGTCCACTTCTCCCTCATTCTTTCAGGATACACTTTGGATGTGCCCAAGTCCAGAATTCCCAGTGAGGAGAATGGAAGGAAGGGACCTTGTCGATACCAGTCAATGAATAATCTACCCAAGTTCCTTTCTACGCCCTCATTATTCTGATAGGAGCTTAGAATGGGTGGAAATGTTCAAACCTCTGCAGGGATGGGGTGAAGGACACGGGTATGGCTCCAAATTCTGAGGTTCAGCCAGCTGCTTGGGAAAGGGGGCACTGGATTACCATCAATGCCTCAAGGGAGCAATCACCAAATTAATCAGCGGGCTCAAACACAAGGGCAAGCTTTGCATTTAGCTTGCCAAGATTAGGGGGCCTTTGGAGAAGTAATTGCTGCCTTGCCTTATTTCCAACTATGTGCCTATTGGCACCCTATCAAGAGGAATGAGCAAAGAAAGAGTACCAGGTAAAGGGAAATAGAAAGGCTGCCCTGGAGGAATTAGGACTCCACTCCTAAACTGTTTGGAAATGTAATGAATATTCCTCTAAAGTGGTCCAGCATCAACCATCTAAATGGATTTCCTGGTCTGCTTCCTACCTTGCCAAAGTTAGCTGTGAGTCATCCTCAAAGACATCCTTTAACGGATGAAAATTGTTTTTTCTTCTTTTTTTCTGATGAAATTTAAAAGAGGTGATAGGAGCTGGGTTTTGTTTATTTGTTGGCTGAACTTCCTATATTCTGGATAACAGATGAATTTTAAAACCACCACACTGCTTTTTCAGTCTTTATTTCAGGCCGGGGGTGGGGGGTGGGGGGCAGGCTCTGAACCCAGGGGGGAGCTGGGAAAGGGTTATCTTCTCAGGTGGCTGGAGAGCCAGACTTTGGGAGTGACCAAGAAAACTGTCACTCTGTTTCCCATCAAATGGGTCCAGGGTGGTTGGCCACTCATGGATGGAGGAATTTATGATCCAAAGTGTGAGAGAGTTTCAAGAGGTAAAAATTTGCAATAGAAAATAGCCTATTCTAAAAATAAATAAATAAATAAAAATAGAAACAAAATAGCCTATTCTCAAATTGTCTGGAACACTTGTCTGCATGAGGAAGTCGCATTGCCGCCAGGATTAGAAAATCAGGAAGGATAGAATCATTCCTCGTTCCTAAGAAATATGCAGACTCCCCAAAACCCCTGAGAGGAAAGAGCAATGTGGAGGACTTTCAGAAACAAGGAAAGAGGACACACGAGTAAGAAAATCGTTAAGAAATGAACCAGCCTGTGTGTCCCCATCGTCATTCAGTGAACGCCTCTTGACTGGTTGATTAATGTGTGGAAACGAAGTAGAAAAGCAGATGTAAATGGGCCAAGAACAAGCCTCAGCAGAGTCCCGGCTCTTGCCTCAGAGCTCACTCCAGGCGTCTGCAGGCTGCCCCTGCAGAGCAAGCAAAGGGAGCATTTCTCAAGATTGCTTAGCAATGCCATCCCTAAGTCAGATGGTTAGCTGTTGCTAGGTGCCCTCGGGCCAGTCCTGCCTCCTAGTGACCCTGTGCGGCACAGAAAGGCCCACTGCCTGGCCCCGTTCCATGCTCACAATCCCACTGGTGCAGCCACTGTGTCACCCCATCTCCCCGATGACCTTCCTCTTTTTCACGGACCTCTACTTTACAGAGCATGAAGGCTTTTTCCAGGGATCCCAAGTCAGGTTAGCATCAGCAATTTTGCTAGCTGTAGCTGGCTCATTCACTTCTAAATGAACCTCAGTCCCACCCTCCACAGATGATAGCATCCCCAGGTAGGGGTCTCTCGTTAAGAGATTTTCAGAGGAGACATAGCACCCTCCTTTAGCTGCTCCTTTTGTAATCTTCGCATTTCATTCTGAGAGAGCTTGGTGGGGAGAGTGACTTCGTCTGAGAACCCTCAGAGGGAGTCTGTGCTCTCTGCTTCACCTCTCACCGTCACCCCCCACCTCCAAGACACAGAGAGCACAAGCCTTCGAGACCCCAGCGAGGGTTGGGGGTGGAGAGAGGTCCAGAGGGAAAGCAGAGAGAAGACCCTGACTGGCCAAGAACCAGGCTGATGACCAGACACCGCAGTGAACTGGCTGGGGTAGAGTCTGCAGGCAACTCACCCACTTCTCTGGGGAGTGGCCAGGCAACTGTGTGTGGCAGTGCCTGTCAGGCTAGCCGGACTGCAGGATTAGCCCCCAGAGAGCAAGCAGGTCCCAGCAAACAGGGAAAATTGAGATGGGGTGGCCATTGGGCAGGAAGGGGCTGAGGTAGGAGGGAGGGACAGGAGAGGGCTACTATTCTGGGACCACCGACCGGAAAGAGGTTTGGAGCAATGTCTGCCGTGGGCTCCAGGACAGGGAGGACTCTGGGAAGAACTAGGAGAAGGCACAGGGCTGGGAATCGCTGGACTGACAGTGAACACGCATATGGGAGAGCAAGTTTTGGGAACAGGACAAGGCTGAAGATAGGACTGTGGAGTGTGTGTGTGGGGGGCAGAATAGAGCTTGGGGTTGGGGATGGAACAGATGGTGGGAGATGGTTTAGTACTGGGAGACAAACAGCTAGAGCACAAGGCCTTGGGAGGAGGCAGGAGATGCAGGGCACCCACTCGAAGTTGGAGTTGTCTGGGTTGGGAGGGCTGGTATGGGCTAGAAGGAAAGAACCTTGGAGAGGGCAAATAAGGAGGCGAGTAAGAGGCTAGGGTGCAGGACCTTGAGGAACGACCCCGGGTGGCGGGCTGCGTTGCAGGAGTGGAAGAGCTGGAGAGATCAATAAAGAGGAAAGGCAATGGTGTACAAAGATGGGATTCAGGACTTTGATCACCACGGGGCTCAGATCCCAGTCCCGTTCCCATCCCTGCACAGCACCTACCGACACCTGTGAGCTGGAGCAGGAGAAGATGCGCTTCATGGCCAGAGCCAGGGCCACGGGGGGGACGGGGACGCGTGGAGAGCGGAGCCACAGGTTCCCAAGCCCACCAGACTCAGCCGAGACCGGGCGAGCGA